AATGTGACCACCACAGCTTCAAGAGGAAAGAACCTAGAAACCCGAACTTTTGTACCCATACTAAGTGGACTTTGAGGGTGTGCACCAAGGTATTATTACTTATCCACGTGCGTGCATGCATGCACATCTTTTTAATGAGGCAAGATAGTGAAAAACCACATAGAAAAGAAATGGTTCATTATATTACAAATAGAACAGAGCATGTGTGTATGCGTAATTGCCATAGCTCCAAGAGGAAAGAACCTAGAAACCTAAAATTTTGCATGCATACTAAGTAGACCCTTAGGGTGTGCAAGTGGGTATTATTACTTATCCATGTGAGTGCGAAGATGTGCGTGTGCATCTCTTTATGAGGCTAGCTAGCGAAAAACCACCATAGCTCCAAGAAGACAGAGCCTAGAAACCTGAAATTTTGAAACTGTACCAAGTGAACAATGAGGGTGAGCACTTGGGTATTATTACTTACCTTATCTGCGTGCGTGCATCTGCATCTTTTTAATGGGGCAAGCTAGCGAAAAATCACATAGAAAAAGAAGTGGTTCCTTATATTACGAATACAAATCACAGCCAAACAGATGCATAACTTTGTGACCACCATAGCTCCAAGAGCAAAGAATCTAGAAACCTGAAATTTTACACTCGTATGAAGTGGACCCTGAGGGTGTGTATCTGGGTATTACCATTTTATCCACATGCGTGTGCACATCATTTTAATGAAGCAAGCTAGCGAAAATCCACATAGAAAAGAAGTGGTTCCTTGTGTAAGAACTAATGTATAGAAAAGCCAATTCCATTTGATAACAATGCATTACAACAAAGGCTTTTATGTCGTGTTGGTTAGCAACAAAAGTATGTAGGTTATTCTTTTATGCTAAAATGGGTTTCAGAATACACACACTGTCAACCTAATAAATAACCTAAGCGAAGCCGGGTACTTTCGCTAGTCTAATATATATATAAGACAGATATTTTTTGGTAATGCTTCTTTCGTCTGTGTCGCTTAGCAAAAACTGACCTAATATTGTTGTCTTAAGCATGTATACTAGATGTAAATCCGCATGGTTCCCGAAAGTGTTGGTTACAAGAGTAAATTAAACTAAAATTAAGTGTAAAAAATATTTTTATTTCTTGTTTTTGAAGCTGACATGTTATGCTGTGCTGTAGCCTACAAAGTGCATAATTCTTGTGATTTATGGCGTGCGCACGTTTTACTGACTTCGCAACAGTACGATTTGCAACGTTAGGTGTTTTGATTAAAGCTATCTATTATGGTTTCAGTAAGTTTAACTAGATGTTCCGTAGTTTACCGAAATTTTCTGAAACCATTTTTCACTTCAGGCTATTTTGACGTTACCGCTAAGAATGTTGAAAGTCTGTTACTAATTATTCTTTCTAAAATGTTGCCTATAGAAGTTGTTAAACTAATTGGTCTATAATTCTTTGGTTTTTTCGCTGTTTTACCCTCTTTTAGAAACGTAAGAACATTTGCTTGCTTCCAAGAGGTTGGATATAACTTGAAATTAGGAATAGGTTAAATAATACTGTTAAGTGATCAAACAAAGTCTGAGTGCCTTTTTAAAAGAGAATAGCATGTA